CTTGGTCAATTCTTTGTCTTGCACTTACCTTTTATCTATGCTTCTAGTTCCTCAGTGTCTTTGTCATAACATTTCCTTTCAAGGCTAATTTCAGGCTAGTTTACTGCACAGGTTGCCACCTGAAACTTGTGTTGTTTTAGGTTGCAACAAACCTAGGGGCACATTTCTCCGAGAATGCATATTCTGTTTGCTGATACTATGAAATGATAACAAAACAAACAGGATTTGGCACCTTTGTTGCAGCCATAAGACTTTCTTCTTGACTATGATGGACATGCCTGAAGCATTAACTCTTCCTGTTCACTTAGCAACTGTCTACGGACAGGCAGGTACCTGCTTTATGTCTCAGAGGGCAAAATGTCAGATGCTTGGGTGATCTACAGATCATATTTTTATGCTGCTTCTTCAACATTTCCTTCATGTCTGCTTTCCAGTAACTAGTACCGGGTGTAGAGTCAGTGACCCACCTTAGGACAGATTCTACCTTAATTAGCTCCATTCCATTTCCCTCTGCTTAGGCCAGCCCAAACCTGTCTTCATCAGCAAATAGTTCCAGTTACACAGTTCCTGTTAAATATCCAGTCAATTTATTTTTTATATGTAACATAAAGTAACAGACTGGATTTGCACTGGTTCTTTTTTTTGGTATTGTAAATTAACATCTATTTTTTTCTAAAAGAAATTAGGCCAGTATGCCAAATAATATAGTAGATACAGTTATCCCTGAGGCTACAAGGTTGTTTACCACTGTTGTAGTGTGATGCCAAGGTAATTTGGTAATTAGCATTACATCAGGCACTTAACACTCTCAAGAGCAGAGGAGGTGGTGTGCTTTGGACTTGACTGATGGTGTGAGAGGACATTTATAACCAAAATAACAAAATTTCAATTTTTTTTTTTTTTTTTTTTAGTACAAATTGGATATATTAAAAAAAATAAAATTTAACAATTCTGAGAAGAGATGTGAAACATAGGTCAGCTGAAATACAAAACACTTCTGCTGGGATATTAATGTACAGATTTTGGCCAACATGAAAAACAATTGACTACTGCCATGACTATAAAATATCAGAAAACAATTTAACTTAAACTGATGGTACCAATTTAAGATTTTGGTTCTGATTCCTGTAATTTCTGCTGCTCCAGGCCAGGGAAAAGAACAAATTAAAAACAAGTAAATGGTTTCCTAAATGTGCCCCTATTTTAAAAGGTTCATCTACCAAAATTAAACAGAAAAGCCACTAGTGTCTGAGAATTATTCTCCAATGAGAGTACTGAATAAAAAAAAAATAATTCATAATATTTTCTCAATGGTGATGAAATACAGCTTTGACTCAAAGGTTTTTAGTCATTTTTGTTTTTGGTGTTTTTTGCTATTATATTCTTGCTTAATCCAGTTTACAGAGGGCATTACTGGAAAATATATTTTATTTTAAATTACTGGTTTAAGTTGATAAAAATAGCTAAACCAAAACTTTTAATACTCTGTAATGTTTGTTGGAAACTATTAAGAGACTCTGAGCCTTCTAAGGATTTTAAATGTTTCAAGAGTAGACTAATATGTGGCAGGCATCAGTAAAATCCCAGCCAGTCCTGAATATACTATTGCTATCCACGTCACAGAATACTTCAAAGGCAACAAAAACAATCAGAAAAAGAAAAATCCACTTTGAACTGGAGATAAAATAACTTCTTCATACAAAAAGAGCATAAAATCCAGTGAACTGAACACCTCAAATGCCACTGGCACAATGCATTCAAATACCACTTGCTATAGTCTAAAATCTGTCTTCAAACAGCATGGTAGTCGCACGTCTCATAAAAATAAAATATATTTTCATAAGAGGTTATCTTTGAACTGACAGAAACATCCTCCAGACCTAAAACCATAAAATGAGCTCTAGGAAATCCTAAGGAATAAAAGAAACAAAAAAGTTAGCAGTGATCTCATTCCAAACTCTCTGTGGTTCAGGTTGAGAAAAGAATCGCAGCACAGAATCTGCCATCAGTGCCCTAACTGATTTGAGTGTGCCTAACTCCTAAGTTATTACCTTTCTCTCTCACTTGTAACTCCCATTTAAGCTTTCTTTTAAATGTGAAAAAGCCACGGCAATAATAGGGAAGTGGAAAAGAAAGAATAGGAGTTGTTTCTTCGTGGTTACATATATGTTTGTCTGGCACGAAAAGCAAACATCATAGTGGAAATTCTTGCTTATCTGCATCAGTGAAGCTAGCCCACTGATCTGAAAGTTTAAATTTAACCTTAGAACATGAACTTTGACAATAGATGGTTATTTCTTGCAAAATATTAAATTTTTATTACATATACACCTTGTTACTTCGTGTTGCAATGAATCTGAGATACAATTTTGGCAATTTACACGCTACACTTGAACTTTTACTAAATATAACCTTTTAAAAAAATTATTTATATGCATAAATTCTGAAATTATATGATATAAACCTGTGATAACTCTTCTAGAAATCCATTGTAGATGTTTTCAAGCAAGCATACAGCATCTAGAAACAAAGGTGAAAAGCAGAGAACAAATCTCTGTCTTCTCATATACTTCCATATACTTAAGATAGCTGAGTCTGCACAGGCATACAGAGGTTAAAAATGTATTATGCAAATACAGGAACTTTAAATACTTTGATAACTATTAATTACAACAGTCTGAATTCAGCTGCAAGCTCAGGAAGTTACTGGGTGTTGCTGGAGTAAAGCAAGCTATACTAAGAAAATAATTATCGTCCGTGTTCTCTGTTATTTCCTTAAGCATTTGCTTCTTCTGGCTGCTGTCAGAGACACTGCAGTGGGATGGACAGGGCTCTGTCTGGCCCATTTCCAGGTACCACAGTCAGTACAAAGCTGCTGTTCTGTCCTAAACACATTATTAAAAGCATTCCATCACTCTGTGACAACTTACCTAAGTCTTTTAAAAGGGTAAAGAAAACCCCAAACACATAAGAATATAGAATAAAGTTCTCAAAAGCTACCTAGTAAATCTACTGTGTTGTAAAAAGTTCCATATTTTATTTAATATTCCTGATACAATATGCTTCCCAAGGGAAGAAAATAGAATTAGTCTAGGCAAAGACAGTATTAATTAAATAAGAAATAATTAAAACCAGGAATTAGCTACAGGTATTATCTCAGATTAGTTAAATTACAGAGAGAAATAACATTAAGTAATTTGTAGTGAAATATATATTCACCTGTGGTGTTATTATTTGTTTAGTGTAGGGATGCACATATCAAAGTCCCAGTGTCTCTCTCAGAAACTTTTCATAATAACACACTTCCAAAGGTAAATATCAAAACAAAAGTATTTTTCAAAAATGTCTAACTTTTCCTAAGTTTCCTTGCCATTGAAGATTCCAGTGATTAGAGCAGTTCCATCATGTGAATCTCACTAAATCTGGTGTAGGATGGTTGGCTCTGAGAAAACAGGTACCCTAAACATCAAGTAGATGCAGGGAGAAGTTATTTTAGAGGTCAGTCCTCCACTCATCAGAAATCTTGCCCCAAACACAAGGGGGAAAGAACAAGCTGCTGTTAGAAAGAAAAATATGAAGAATTGGGAAAGAAATATATAATTTTCTTGGTTGATTTAACATCTTGGCCTTAATGTGAGGAGAAAAAACAAAACAAACAAACAAACTCAAATCAAAAGAGTTTTCCATCTAAACTGCTTTTAAAAATTCAAGTCCTGTCGAATTCAAGGACATAGGCATAAAATCACTGTATAAATTAGCCTTATCAGAAAGCTTGCATCATGTCCATTATCCAGTCTATTTATTAAGTTTCTAAAAGGTTGTTTTCCTTTCATTTTTGCTCAAATGGCTTGAAAGGTGTAAATATCTTCAGTTGTCCCTTGTCATGGTATATGTAGAGAAGACCTTCACCCCCTTGAGACAAACTGGCATCTCATGCAGGAAGAGGTCTCTGCGGACAGGTACAGAAACTCATAGAGGCCTCAGACCTAGTCATCACTTCCACTTTGCAAAATTTGAGGGTACTTCTGTTTAGAACACTAAAAAAGTTTTTCTCACTTAGGATTACTATAATAATTATGTTTATGTTTGTAAAAGCATGGGCAGAAAATTTATGTCCCTAGGTATCCTAACTGGAGGTGCAGCAGCTTGCATTGGTGAAGTGTGGGAGCTCTGAATACAGGTACTGATGAAGGTTTGTTTTTGTTTTGTTATATGTTTTGTTATGTGTAAAAAAATGCTTTAGTTAATAAGTTCATATGAGACTGAACTTTTTAATGTGAAATCTGATGACAGTGGTATCTCTGTTTTAACCACACATAGAGAAAGAGTATTTAGGAAACAAACAGTTACATATTTAATAGCCACAAATACATAGTTTTCCATATATGTGTTCTATTTATGCAATGTTTTATTAAATGTATTATGCTTATAAAATATTTTAGATTTTAATTTTACATGGAAACGGACCTTCTGGTTGATCAGTCTAAGCTTTACATATTTTTACCTAATTGATATATTTCTTTTCATAAGAATCTTTTAACCACATTAGTTAATTGTCCAGGGCATACTTCTTCTTGACTGCACAAGTCATTTAGTCATCTTTACCTCACTACTTTAGAATCATACTATTATTGCTATATCTTATTACATTTTAATTTTATATCTATTTACTGAATTAAATAAATGCACAAAATAGCATGGAGTTTCCGAATTCAGAAGAATCACATACTTATTTTTTCCTTTTGGATAAGGAGTGTGTTTGGTGCAGTCATTTTATGTAGGAGGGTATCTGTTATATATTTTAATCTCTAAATCAGCATTTTCAAAATTTATTTGCTTATGTCAAATTCCATACATAAATTTCCCTGCTTCTGTTTATGAAAAAAGTAAAATATCTGAATGATGTCAACAGTGGCTTTCTAAAATATAGGAAAACTGACAGCACAGCTGAAGAGAATAAATTGTTTTGAGTAGAAGCCTTGTTAAGCTTGAAAACCTACCTCAAAGGCAGTTGCATGGATGGTCTGTCTCAACACTGGAAGCGCCCAGTAGCTGCTGAATGAAACAGAAATCTTTTTATTGCTGAAAGTGGTGATCCTACACCAGTGTTTCCAAACAGTATAGGACTTTGAGTTTATAAATAATCTTGGTTATAGTCATTTTTTTTTGCTGTGGAGTAATTTCCTACTTCAAACTCACATATGAAGTTTCTGAATGTAGCTGAATGAGAATTAGTTTTGTAGCCGTATGCTACTGTTGTTTAACATTCTGTTACAATCACAGAATGGAAACTCAGTTTCCAGATGACTCTATAACCCAAACACTTTGGAATCAGAAAACAGCAATTTGAGATGCAGTGTTTTTTAGCTATGACAACAATTTTCCTCTCAAGAATAATTTCCAGTTAAGTATAAATCTTACCCATTTTTCTGGCTTGAGTCAGTGTTTACGTTCCCATTTTTGTCCTGAAATGGGAATTTCCACGAGTAATTCATGACGGTGTCTTTGACCTTTACTAGTCATCACACCCTTAAAACTGTTAAGCAAATGTAGTCGGGTAGTAAACATAACTAATTTTTTTCAATACATTCTCCAAACTCTGTATTTAATGTGTCTTACTGATATGTGGTCCCTCTTATTCTTAATTAGTATTCAAACAAAACTACTGTGAAAAAGATCACTATTGTTATTTTTAATTTCTCTTTTGGTTTTTCAAATATATGTATGACATTTCAAACATATGTGCAAATACATAGTAACATGTACCACTAGTACTTTAGTAGTATATTTATTTTCAAGTGCAAACACACAACACATAGTAGCACACTTTCTGCAGACTTTATTCTTGTAATTTCTTGGCTCCAGCACTGTTCAGATTTCATTGAATCATATTCAAGTATTCACTGAATCATTTTGTAATATTAGAGCTGGAGAACCAAGTCTTTTGAAAAAGAAACTCTGTTATGAAAGAGACTTTATTTCCAAAAGGAGAAGCATTCAGCATTTCTCGAAGTAGACTATGTATATATCACAGTTGATTTTTAAGAAATTTAGATTAGCAGTAACAGATAATTTTAAATTCAGTTTCTATACCCTTGTATTATTCAAAGAAGAAAATTGTTTTTTGCAAATTATCATTTTCAAAATAATTTGAGCTACACTTGTTGCTAGGAAAGAAACTACCACTGCCACTTGTTTCAGTAATTTAAAATGGCCATCACTTTTAATCATATATAAAACAGGTCAGACATCAAGTGTTGCATTGTATTAAATTATCAATATTTTAATTAATTAAACTTCTGAATTTTTTTTAGTGAAATAGGACTCAGAACTTTCAGAAAGAGTTTTTGGTTATAGTCAAGATTCCTGTGGAAAGCCCAGCTGTGTTGGCTGTTGCTGAATATATAGTGCTTTAGTTGTCCATTTTTAAAATCCATTACTGCTTGTTTCTGCTCAAGGTATACTGTTTTTTCATACAGTAGATGTTGCAGAATATAAAATTTTTATTTTTTTATCCCCATCGTTTTTCAAACCCATAAAAGGAATTACATTTCTTGATTTCCTTTTAATATGGTATCACATTGATTTTCTAAACCCAAAATCTCAAAAACCTCTTTTCCAGGCATTCAGGGAAATGCATCCCCAAGCTAAGTATTAGTTTGAAGGGTTGTTTTGCTCTGTATGTAATTTCAATTTTCCTGAAGTGCTTCTTGTTTTTATTTACAAGAGCTGAACTTCCATGGTTTCATCCAACCTTTCTTGATAGTATTATTTTATAAGAAATGTAAGCAATAAATTATGCTTGGAGTGACTTCCAGGGTGAATGGTTTGGGATGCTGCTAGGAGAGAGGCCAGACTTCTGCCATAAGCTGGGGATGGGGCACCTGTCACATATCACATCTTGCCTACCAGTTGCCCCAGATCAGCTACCTGGCTTTTATATCATTTTCCCTTTGGTAAAGCTTTTGCAAGTGTTGTGGCTTTCTCTTTTGGTAACCCTAGCCACACCTTGCTTTCTTTGTTTTACCAGAACTCAGAGATGAAGAATCCAGAACCTATATATAAAGGTGTGTATATATATATATACTATATACCTATATATACCAGAACCTATATAAGTATACATATAAGTATCTAAAGGGGGTTACCAAGAAGATGGAGCCAGGCTCTTCTTGGTTGTGCCAAGCAATAAGACAAGAGGCAATGGGCAGAAACTGATGCCCAGGAAGTTCCATCTGAACATGAGGAAGAACTTTATTGTGTGGGTGACTGAGCACTGGAACAGAGCCCAGAGAGGTTGTGGAGTCTCCCTCACTGGAGATATTCAAGAACCATCTGGCAGTTTCATCCTCTGCCATATCCTCTGGGATGACCCTGCTTGAGCAAGGAGGTTGGATCAGATGACCCACTGTGGTCCCTTCCAACCTGATCCATTCTGTGATTTTTTGCTTCTGGAAATGATGAATGTAATAGCCAGTATTGGATCACTGTCCTAGGCCATATTATCAGAAAAAAGGTGCTATGAGAATGAGAAAATGGTGGCAATGTCTACTTTGTGGACATTACAGTACTGTGGGCAACCACTGACTGTGAGGCCTGAGGTGTATTTCTCCCTGCTATACCTTGCTCATGACACATAACAAAAAAGGAACATTTAATATTTTACTTATCAGCCTTGAACTGGATACTATTAAAAAAAAGAAAGTCCATTCTAAGCGCAATTAATTCACTTAAAAACGTACCATGGCACAGAAACAGATGTCTATTAAACTGTGACTATAATCATCATTAGTTGAAGGCAAATATTTTTAAATAACTTTATGATCAGAACAAGTATAAATGCATGGGAATGAGGAGAGATATAAAATAATAAGAGAACTATTTTTTTTTCATTTATTTGATTAAAGCTTAACAAAGTAATGCCAAGGCATTTCCAGAGTTCATAATTCTCATGGGAATCTAAATATTTTACAGAAAAAGGTTTATTGTCTCAGGCTAAATGAATGGCATAATTAGCCACAAGACAACATACTATGAAATGTCACTGCTGAAAAACAATTTTTTCAAGACTCTGAGGGTGAAGCATTTTTGAAACAGTACATTATTATTTTTTTCCTCAAATCTTCTTTTGTTTATGTTGCTGTTGTTTTGTTGTTTGCTGTTTTAAAAATATGGATTTAACACGCTAGTAGTACTGTCCCCTTTGTATTACTAGCACTGAGGAAAGAGTCCTTTTCTTTTAGTAAACTTATCTTCTGCTAAATCTTAATTGGATCTAAGTGGTGACTCCTCTATATAGTTTTGTATAATACTTCCAGAAAGTGGGATGGTCACCTCCATAAAAAAGTGTACAAGACAATTACAAGTGGCTTTACATTAGTTAACAACACACTTTTACTTACAGTCTATACTTACAGAATGAAGAAAATGCTGCATTAAGTATTTTTAACTGAAAATGTTGAGAGTTTCTGACACAATTGGAAGGAAACATTGACCTTTTGGCCACTGGGCACATCTCATAAAAGAGTTTTCTGGTTTTTCAAGCTTTGTTCTGAGTATGAGAAAAATACAATATTATTATGTTTCTTCCAGGTCTGTTGGAGCACCTTTTTGTGTTGTCTGAGATAATTTTCCAGTTGTATTTCTTCTCGAATTTCCACACAAAACACTTTGATTTAATTTTATTTTTAGTTAAAAAAGGCAGTATAAAAGCAAACTATCTGTACTTTGAGAATAATTTGTGTGAGAATAACACATAGGAAATGTTGATCAAAACTATTTTTTTCATTCTTTGTCTAAATTTACATTGTTAAAGGGTAAATTATTACCTCATTGCCAAATAATTCCTTTTGAGAGGAAAAGCAAATTGTATATAAGATTAGGTTTCTTAACATAAATGACTGTCTTTTGCAGAGCAATTTGAGACTTGTGCTATGCAGAACAAGGAGGCTTTAGGGGTCTATTTTCTGAAACTGAAAGTTGTATCCTGTAGGTTCTTTGAAAACTACCTCCTAGTCAACTAGAATCTGAGAACAGAAAAAAGAAGAAAAGCACTCAGAAATTGTGCTCACTGATTTTTAGACTCATAATCAGGTATGAGTCATGGATGCTACATATCACCACACATATATTGCTATGCTGAAATTCAAATTGTTTAACAGCAGAAAAGGATATCCTTAATCCTGATGGGTTTTTCATTTTACCTAATTTTTTACTAATATTCTCTTTTCAGTGTGTTCTGCCAAAATATTCTCAAGGTTTTTTTACAGATTGATTTTCCAGCTCTTAAAAAGAATTCCATTCTTGACTGCTGGAGTCCAACAAGCAAGGAGAAATACTTGGTTTTAAACTCGACTACAAAAGTACTGCAACTATTAAACCATAATTGAGCATCTTTACTCCTTTGTTCAACAACATATTCATTGATGGGTTGAGCTTGAATGAAAATATAAAAATTTTGTCTTTCCTTTAAAAACAAAAATTTATGATTAAGCAATTTCCAATAGGAAAAGAACATTCTATAAGAAAAATATGAAATTTTCTTGAACCTTTATCTTAGGTTGTGATATTACTGTTCAATCCTTCTTTCTTGTCTGTTGCTTTTGTGCTTTTCAAGGATCTTTAATCATTTAACCTTCAGTATAACTTCTGTTATAAGATTTACTACATATACAATTATGACATATACTACAGATTACAAAAATGAACTTAGATTGGGTTGGACTATTTTTTGCATAAAATGTGCTAACCCTATACTTGCAGATCTTTGAGCCTATTTAGTCTTTTCCACTGTCCACTCAATTTTCTTATTTCACTCTCCAAAATGCACCTCACTTCCTCACCAAAAAGCTACAATAAGAGAATCTATTCAAACCCACACAGCTTCCAAAGTCCTTTTCTGGATTTCTAAATAGAACAGATTTTCTTTTCTACTCTCATTTCTCTATATTCTTTGCTCCGAAGAACTTTGGCCAGCACACCATGATGAAGCTGGCTCTGATTTTCAGTACTTCTGTTTCTTTCTAATCACACTTACATGCTATAAGAAGAAAAAGATCCAAAGGATGAAAAGCCTATGAATATTCCAAAGGTTCCCAAGAAATATTAGATTAATGCTGACATACAGCGATTTTCCATTATACTATCTATTGTAACTTCCTAAAATATGAACATAACACTTTTTGAATCTTAACCAATTATTCTTTTTACTTCATCTGGATTTCATTTTCACTTTCTTGTCATAACTGGGGCTTTCTGGCAGGCACAAACAATTGAATAAACTTTAATTAGAATGTTCCAGGTAGGAATGGTTCTTTAATGATGGCTCATGAACAGACCCTTAAATCCTACAAAGCACCACTAAAGGTCTGATGAAACTTTTGTGAATTTGGGGGAAGAGGAGGGGAAGACAAGTGAATATCATATATATTTTATATATTTTTTTAAGTACATCTGAATGTATAAATAAGAATAATCTTAAAAGACTGAAAATATCTTACTGCTCAAACATACAGTTTTGTCCAATAAAGAGGTTTTCAAACTTAGTTTGCGTGTAGCTTATGCTCAAAGAAAATAAGGAAGGGGAAACAAGACAAGATTTCTATCGTACTTACTAGGTTCCATAGAGAACCTCCATCTGATAATTGAAATGGAGCTGGTTGGACCCATCTGGTGGTTGGGAGGATCAGCTGGTTATTTTGAACTGTGCTTAATATGCTAGTAGAAGTATTGTTTTTCAAGTTTTCTGTTTTCCAATTCTTTCCCCCCCCATTTTCTTATCTTGTGTATTCTCTCTTTTTTATTTTAATCTTACTAACACGGCCAAGTGAAATGTTCTTTAATATTAGTCTTTGACTAGGAAGGATCAAAAGACTAAACGGTAACAAAAAAAAAATCCCTTTTTTGATGTATTATTTATATTTCAGCAAAGAATGTGAAGCTGAGATACATTACTTACTGAACAGTACAAATCTGTGACAGACTGTCCTATTCAATAATACTCAAGGAACCAGTTAAAAATAAAAGGTGGTGCACAAAGAGCAGTGCAGAATTTTACTCTCCTAATCTCTCATCTAAATGTCAATAGACATAAT